TTTATAGGAGAAAGAAAGGCGTAAGGAGAGAACCGAAAACTCACCACCTGAAATAAAGAGACTTAGCATGCAAGCACGCGGTTGGTAAACCGAATGCAGCGTACCAACGAACCCTGCGCCCGTGCTGCCTACCTTCACTGCAGGACCCGTCGTCGCATCGGCAATGGTACCGAGTGACCTCTCTCATGGCTCGATATGCCTGCCTGACTAAGGCACTCGCGACCGCATGTTCTACAGCACCATGCGCTCGATGTCGATGGAGTACAATTCATCGGTGCTTTCCGCTTCCGCACGTGCCGCTGCTTCTCTGCATGCATGAGGACTTTCTCCCGCACTTCAGCAAATGCCTTCGTGATTACATCGCGCCATGCACGCCGATCAACCGCCTTCGATTCCCATGATCTGCAATCAAGATTAGAACGTGTGGGGCTCAATTTAATTATGTCCTTGTAACGTAACTTTGGTTTCCCAGCATGCCAATTCCCAATACTCAGCTGACCGTATAAGAGTTGTTTCGGTATCCGCGTCGAATACATACGGCTCACATGACTGATCCACCTCAGGTGTCTCAATAAAAGTATGCCATCCACTGCATACATCCCACTTCGGTGCAACATTTCCGTGTCTGCAACTCTGGCGCCCCAGACGATGCGCAAAATTCGTCGCAGACACTGCTGATGAAACCGCCCGAGATATCGCACATCCCGACGGTACATCGTCTACGTTTCATTGCCGTATAGAATAACGGACAGTACCATGGATTTGTACACCATCAGCTTTGTGCCAATGCTAAGCTGATGGTTGTTCCACACTAGTTACTCAAGCTTCCCGAATGCCGCTGCTGCCTTCGACACGCGAATACGCAACTCCACGTGCAGCTGCTGATCAGTCAATATCACACACCCAAGGTAGATGAAACGGGTGGTGGTCTCCAATACTTCAGCACTAATGTTCATTTGCGGCAATATTGAAGATTGCACCTCCGGTGAAGGCTGAAAGATACAGACAGTTTTGCTTGTGTTTGTGGTGAGCCCGAATTTGGCCGCTGTCAAAGCCAGAGCACTAGTCACGTGCTGCAACTCATCCGCGCTGCGTGAAAACAACGCACGTTTGTCAGTAAACAGCGACATACGGATAGT